ATATATATATTGCTGTCAAGATGATCAATTAGAGGATTGAAAAATATGAAAACAACCTTTTTTTTTTTGGATTTTTTAGGTGCATCCGTAATTCCTTGCATTTTCAAGGATCTCAATTCTCAATACAGGCTATTTTGGTATTTTTATAAATAATTTTAAAGGAGGGAACCCAACGTTGAAAAATAAATCCTAAAATGCTATTTAGGATATATTAACGAGTCCTGACCACTTACCTACCATTTTCCCCAAAATTCGAAAATTCATATAGTGTCCAATAAACCCAAGAAAACACTCATATACAATGTAGATTAAAAAAAAGAAAGAAAGCAGAGAAGACTTCATCCAAATTCTTAAACATGTGAATATTCAAAACGTAGCTTTATCAAGTACGCTATTTGGGTTCATTTAAGTGTAGTAATTAGGGTACGAGAGAGTGAGGGGTCAAGGGGTGACGTGGGTCTTATCATGGTGGAGAGTATGAGAACCATAAAAGTTGAAAAATGAGGGTTAAAATGTTTATTTATTTATTTATTTATTTTTGTGAGTTGGGACTTTTACCATAATTTTTTTTCAAATGTAAATTAAAAGAATTTCATGAGTGAGGAGGCTCACTTATTATGCTGCGCCTCCTAACCCATCAAATGTTTTTCTTTGAGATAGATTTATTAAAAAAGAAAAGGAAAATGTTAAAATACGAATGCAGTTTTTATGAAAAGGAAGAAAGGCGCTTGAATCCTAATCCAAAAAGCACTTTGGGAATCACAAATCTAAAATCTTCATGATAACTCTGAAATCAATTTTCAACACCAATTAAGAATTTGGAGCTGAAAAATTGGTCTAGATCTTGTAGATCTATAAAAACTTATTTTTAAGGTAAAATACACCGTTTAGATAGCTTGTTATAATATTCACTATTTTTAAGGCTTAGAATCCTTTTTTTTGTTCACAACTTTAAAAGTCAAAGCTAAAATGATATCTTTGAAGATTTTTTATACTAGAGCTGTAATTTTTAATGAGTTTTTAGACAAGGCTTTACTTATTTTGATCAGCCCTGTCAAAACATTTTCTACAATAAAACCAAGGTATTATAGACAAAAGAAAAACCTCACCTCATGACTTAACCAAAAATTTATTTCCGGTGTCCAAAAACCTTCAAATCAATGATCTCAACCTTGATTATTATTTTCAAGTATTCATAGATCCATATAATTTGTACCTCTTTTGAATACAAGGTTCATAATTATGTGGAAATAGATTTTGAAAAAGCATACCATTCACATCACATGGACAGGTGGAAAGGTGCACAAGCCATGGTTGGGATTTCATGAGGTTTATCTAATTGCCAAAGTTAATTTCCTATTTTTATTTTGAAAAATGTATATCGGAATATATACATGAGTAAGTTTATTTTTATAAAAAAACTAAATAAAAATAATTAAAAAATATTTTAAATAAAAAACAATCAAATTACCCCTTATTATTAATTTTATTAATTCTAATTATCTATAAATAAAAATATTTTAAATAAAAAATAATCAAATTACCCCTCATTATTAATTTTATTAATTCTACTTATCTATAATATTATTAAATCACAATTAATCCATATTATATTATTAACCCGATAGACACATGTCGCAAAAATAAATGGGGACCTAGCTCATAGAATTCAGGGCATGTGACCATTAAAAAAAAGGTGTTTAGGGCAATGTAGTTAAAATGGGCTCCCTTTTTTTTAAAAATTCCTCTAAGCCAGAGTTTATACCCATGCGAATTCCTTCGTTTTCTCCCTCTATTTATTATTTTCAAGGTAACTCTCATCTTTTATTATTATTATGGTAACTCCAAATGTTTCTTTAAAATGTTGTATATTGCTCATTCCTTAAAAGGTCTTGCCATAAATCTAGCCATATCTATCCTAAAATGTGCATATGATATACCTCCTTTAAAATGTATTATTTACGGCAAGGCTTATCGTCTCCTAAATTTAGTGCCTAATACTTGCCCCTAAAAATGATCCAATCCTCTCCTAAACTTGATGCCCTCTCTCATATCCACGTGGGACCACCTAAAATCTCTCAAACTCCAATCTAGGGCTGGCAATTGGCTGAGCCTCGGTTAGCTTGGCCCAAGTCTGGCCCTCGGCTTGTCTTAGCTTGGCCTAAGTCTGGCCCTCAGGCTACATTTTGCGACCTAAGCTCTTGGTTTTTAGAGCCCCATTGCCACCCCTACTCCAATCTTCTCCTAAAGTGTTTTTCATTTCTCAGTGGGGAGGAGGAGATCCCCTCAACCTAGGACTAGAACCTGGGAACCAAGCGCCGCGAATTCTATCGCCTGACGCTCTGGCCACTTTATACCTAGGCTTCTTGCCTAACATCCATGTAGGACCACCTAAAATCTCTCAAATTTCTTGCTACTTCCTTATATACCTTGAACCACTTAGATACCTTCTAAATCCTCTCATATTCGTACAATAGATATTCCTTAAGGATTGTGCAATGTATTGGGGCAAGCTTTCTATGCTTCCTTTGGAGCATAAACCTTATATACTTATTTTTATCCAACCGTGCATTCTGACTCGATGGCTAAGATGGCTCCAAAAACGATGTCACCTTTCTACACTATTTTATTTTTTAATTTTTTTTTAAAATTATTTTGTAACTAAATTTTAGACGTCCACTCCTCTCCTAAACTTGCACTTGTACAAAATATAAAAATAAATATTATCAATAAAATAAATTGATTAAAATACCCCTAAAAGTTTCAAGGGGTATTTTGATTATTACATTTTATCGAATTTTTTTTTAATAATTTTCGTAGGTGCACCCCATTGAGAAGATGATACGTACCAAATGTCATATTCATACAATTTGTAGAAAAATGACTAAAAATAAAATACTCTAAGGTATCGGATCTAAATCAAACGGTGTGTCGCTCGCTTGATATAAATCAGGCTGCATGGGAGGAGAAGCATATAAATTGGACTGCATGGGAGGGAAAATATAGAAACGTTTTGGCATATAAAAATAAAACTCAAGTCCAAATTTCATATTAATAACAGTTAAAAAAAACGAGGTTTGTTTTTGGCCCTTGGATACGGCTGGTTCAATATGAACTATTAAAAGGTGAACGTATCTTAGGGATTTCGCATGAACGTTTTCACGAGAAGATTTCAAGGTGAGGCTTTACCTTTTTCTTATAAGGGCTGGACTTTATAGGAGCTACATTCAAAAGAAAATTTCTTATGCAAAAGTTGAAATAAATGGTGTAAAAAAAAAAGCAAAAAATATCAACTATCATCTTAACCTATATATCATTTAGATTAGGGTGTGGTTTGTCTAGAGCCGACTCTAACAATCAAAGTAAAGCGCACTTTCAAATAGTATCAAGAAATGTAGTTTCGATATTAGAAATTTTTAGGATAACTATATTTTCATATTTAATTATAAAATTAAAGCTTCAAAGATAGTGTAGATCGAATAGATCTATGAAAACTTGAAAATTTTGAAAATTGATAGTCCAAAAATATATTACAAGATGCATTGCTTTCAAAACTTGAAATCCATTTTTTTCTCATATCCATGATGAGATGATGATCAATTTGGGAATATTCAGGCCCCAAAACAACCCCTTGTAGAGAAGTTTTTGAGGTACACCTTAATTTAATTAGAACCTCGCACTTATAAAAAGAAGCTTTTGAGGTGCACCCAAATTTAATTGTTTAGAGCCTCGCACTTATAAAAACATTTTCCTTTAGATTACTGATTACCATAGTTGTCTGAGATTATGAAATCCAGAGTCCGCTGGCTCACGAAACCCACACTTATTTAAAAGACGACGCCTATGGACATTAGCCCGCCGCCTTAGATTATCAATGGCAGCGACTTCCTGCCGCTAAATCAATGGCATAAAGGTGAAGGTTCACCGGAGCAGTTAGATAAGTAGATATATGGATGGAGATAAAAAGGCCAGTTGGCAAGTTTTTGCAGGGGTATTTTGTACAACTCCTCCCTCGAGCACAGAGTCTGTAAATCCCAAATTTTGAGATCGATATACGTGTTTGATTTATGAAAGATGTGGATTCGGAACACTTCCATGTTTAGTAAAAGAGAAGTTTTAGAGAAAAGTGGAAATGGAAATATCTATTTTCCTTGCATTTATGACTAAAAACTAATTAGGACTAAAAAGTGGATACCGCTATTTCCATGGCACTATTGAACCAGACGCATCCACTTGAGACACGGTCTGCAAAACCTTATTTTATAAAAAATCAAACAATCTCAAAAGATTAATTTAAAAAAATATATATATTGAGTTTTTGGACCTCTGTATTTTTCCTTGGGTGCTTCCTGTTCAATCCTCAATTTACGAGTCATTTTCTCAGCTACACACAGTCAATTTTTTTTTTTTTTTTTTTTTTTTCTTTTCTGGATTTGATTCTAGATACTCATCATTGTCATTATCTTTTTTTTCCAATTAATTGGGGAGATATAAAGATCCACAAAATATTCCGACTTAGAGTTAGAACACCAAATGTTCAGAATTCCAAAAAAAAAAAAAGGCCAAATTAAAATAGTAGAAATTAGAAGTAGATCAAAGCCATAGGACGAAACATACCCGAATTAAAATAGCAGATATTAATAGTTTAGGGGGAAAAAAAAAAAAGTCATAAGAATAACTAATATTTTATTCAAAAAGAAATGTAGAATAATAACTAATTTAGATGTGTTTTTTTGAAGAACTGCCCCTCCCCTCTAAGGATGAGAGTGAAGGGAATTCAGGCAGAGAATTGAAGATCAATTCTGCAAATTAAGGCAAAAAAAAAGAATAGAGAAAGAGATAAATAGAACTCACAAGGAGGCTGAAGCCAGAGACTCCAGCGAGAGATGTAGCTATGGCAGCACCAGAGAGGGACAGCTCGCCTAGGTGGCCGACCACCATTACCGAAACCACCTGTAAAAGATACTGCGTCATGTTAACAACGATCATCGGCCCTGCAATTACACATATTTTCTTGATCTCGTCCACCACAACGCCTCCCTTTGCTGGTTTCACCAGCGCCTCTCTCAAACCGCACTCCACCGCCATTATGCCCCTTCCCCTCTCTCTCTCTCTCTGAACCTCCTAAAAATGATCTTCGGATTGGAGCTATATTTAGAGAGAGAAGATGTTTAGAGAGAGAGAGAAGATGTTTAGAGAGAGAGAGAAAGAGATGGTTTTCTCTCGCTCTTCCTCTCGCAAATGAAGGGGGGAAAGGGAGGGAGGGTTTTAATAATTGTTGGGCGTGAGAAGGGACAAGTTGAGGTGAATGCCTTTTGGATTCTTTTGTAGGAGATTTGCTTAACAAAGTGTCTGACATTTTAGAAATAAATGTTTAAATAACCAAAAATAGTCCAAGGAAAAACTTTGAATCTAGCCGAGTATGCTGTTAGTTACCTCTGTGTACCCGCGGGAGCATTTTTCTCGATCACTCCCTTCGGTAAAAGTTAATGTAGAATTGGTATGTGCCCCTGCCCGTGCATTTAGGGATGTAGTGTCTCGGCTAACATCTTTTTATGGGTTTTTGGTTTTCTTTTTTTGAAAATTATACAATGAGACAATTTACTATAAGGTGGTCACAATGAATCTTTGACCATTCCATATGAAATTAGATGGTGGCATTTATTTTATTGACCAAGTTTAAACTTCTAACGAAATTTTTTCGAATTTTGTGACACTTTCAAATTATCAAATTTTGACAAGATGATTGTCACGTGACCTTCTTGTATAAAAATAAATCATCTCATTGTATACAATCCCTTTTTATTAATTTATTTATTTATTAAAGTAAAAATGGTGGGAATGGAGCCTAGCACATTAGGTTGGGGTACTTGCCCCCACTAACCACTAATGTTCCAATGTCATTCCCCGACGTCTTCACCAACCTCAAAAAGAACAAAAGTTTGCGAACTCTCAATGTGTGTAACTGAAAATAACATTCAAATGTAGAAAGATTATCCAATCTTAGTTCCAAGAGCCTGTGAAGTTGGAAGCTAATTTTTTTAAAAAATAATGAATAATAATATTCTTTATAGCCTGAGCATGTAACTATACATTATGGTTTTTCACTATCTACAAGTCTGAGATCCATTTAATTATCTAAATAAAAAAATATATTTTGAGTTCTTCAACCCCTAGAACCTAATTTACTCATCTATTCAATATTCCGCCAATATTATTCTTTTTCAAGGACTGCTTTTATTTTCTTTTTCTTTTTATAAGTTTAGTCACGAGGTTGAAGAGGTTACAACTCAAATCGTTTAGATCCCAAGAGCACTCTCAGATTGGGTTCTGCTTGGTAGATTAAATTGACAATATGTTTCCTGAGGAGCACCAAATCTTCTTGCTGCACCAGTATATTTTCCACATACTCACCCAAAATATCTAGCACCAGCACCATACACTCGGGGATAAATTATTTGCCACAATGCTTTCTCCCCAAGGCAAGTAGGGTAAAATGCTGGTTTGGAACGGCGTATCAGATTTTTTATACTACAATACCCTTTATTGGACAAAATTTCCAAAACAACTATGCCAACTCTAAATTAGATATTGAAATTATTGTATCTAAATTTTGCAAACTTTGAATCATTTGACGAACGTTTTAGGCTCTATTACATCCATTTTTCTTAACGTGATAACTACAAATTAATTGAGTACATATTTAGAAAGCTTATATAAGGTGTTAATTGTACAAGTAAGACTCACATAAAAAACCCACTGAAAATAGTCGTTTTGAAGCTAGAAGTCCTCCAATTGATCATCTCGACTTGAGAAATATGGATATGAAAAAAAGTTGCAAGTACTAAAAAAGTGTATCATGTAACATAATATTATTTAGATCATCCATTTTCAAGATTCTCAAGCATTTAGAGCTCTACTTGATTTTTAAAATTTTGGAGCTTTAAATTTCGGGATGCAAATAGGTTCTCAAGACTAGATTTCAATTACCAAACTTGTTGTTGAGATTCATGGATATTTAAAGATCATTAGCTTTGGTTTGTTTATTGTACCTTGGAAATTCTTATATATGAATACTCATACTAATATCAAAATTCTCTATTTTAGTGGAACTTTTGTAATATAGAGCGGCTTATAACATATCATGTGTTAAGCGTTCCATCCCATGAGGGAGGGACACCAATGGCTGTTTTGAAAAGATAAAAATATGACTTATTGACCATGATCCCATGAAATATAAGTGGTTAGGTGCCTCGAGCTCGTCTTCCGGATCCGGATGATTTGGCGGCACGTATCTCAAATTTCATGGGAACTCCGAACTTTGAGATTGCTCTCTTGGGAACCTCGCTCAGGAGCAAGGGCAGGTATTCCAACCGATGAGAGAGGAATTTACGGTGAGACTTACTCGGGCTGGCTCGCGTGGGCGCCCTCTTAGATCATAAGAAAGCCCCCCAGTCCTACAACTGGTTCGGAATCGCTTCCCTTAGCCTGTATTCTCATGTTTCTGCAATCACACACACATGGTTAAGTTTACAGGACAAGTGGGCCGAAGGACCCCACCTTATCTTTGGGTGAATGTACACAAGGCGTGTACATTCAAAGGAGAAAAGAGAAGAAATGATGAGATGAGAGTTGAGAGAAGGAAGAAGAGAGAAGAAGAAGAAAAGAAAGAGACAATTGACCGAATGACTAGCCTAGCACAATGGCTAGATTGGCATGACGATTGACCTAACGTGGTAGCAAGACGGGCACGGTAACGGACGGGCACAGCGACAGTACTACTCGACGACAGAACACCAACACCGACCAACCAGACACAGTGGTTAGTTCGACGTGGTAGCAAGACGAACACGGTAACTTAGACCGGCACGACGGCAGTACTGCTCGATGACAAGACTACCGTAACAGTGCTAGACTTGTCCCTTGGTCAAATGAGAGAGGAAGAAGAAGAAGAAAGATGGAGATAAGGGGTAAGAAAAACAAAGAGAAAGAGAGAGAGAAGAAGAGAGAAATAGGAGAGAAGAGAAGGAAAGGAGAAGAAAAAGAAGAGAAGATCAGAGTAGAGAAGAGAGGGGAAGAAGAAAGAGAAGAGAGAGAAGAAAAGCATGGACGATGATGGACTTCTACCGTCCATGACAGAGAAATATGAGAAAGAAAGAATATGGACGGCGATAGACTTCCGCCATCCATGTTAGAGAGAAGGTGAGAGGGAAAGGACATGGACGGCGATGGACTTTCGCTGTCCATGACAAAGGACAGAGGAGAGAAAGAACATAGACGGCGATGGACTTTCACCATCCATGACAGAGGACGGAGGAGAGAAAGAACATGGACGGCGATGGACTTTCATCGTCCATGACAGAGAGAGAGACATGAATGAGAAATGAATGTCATGCGCGACGACGAGCATCACCATGCACCACATGGGAAAGGAGAAATTTGGACAGAGGCCCGATCCACCACTCAGGTTAAGGCCCGCCTCACTGTGCATATTTCCAGAAGATAAAGGAAGGTTGAGAACGTCATACCCGACAATGAGCATCACTGTGCATGACTTGAGAGGAGAGAGAAAAGAAATCAGAGTGAAGGCAAGAAAGACAGGGAGGAGGAAAAATGATTTCAGGAAAGAGGAAGAGGAAAGGAAAGTCGAGAGAAAAGAAAGGAAAGAAGAGATGGCAAAGGAAAGTGAGGAGAGAAATTGAAAGAGATCCAGAGGAGAAAGACGAAAAGAGAGAGAAAGAGATTAGGAAAGAGAAAAGAAGAATAAGGAAAGAGAAGAGGAAAGAGGTACACACGTCGCTGCCACAGTCGTGGGTGTCGGAGGGAGGAGAAAACAGAAAGAGAGATTCGTGCATGGGATTGCCATCGCCGCGCATGTTCAGACAGAGAGAGACAGAGAGAAAGATAGAGCAGAGAGAAGAAAGTAGAGAAAGAGATTCGTGCATGGCATTGCCATCGCTGAGCATGTTCAGATAAAGAGAGATAGAGAGAAAGATAGAGCAGAGAGATGAAGTTAGAGAAAGAGATTCGTGCATGGCGTTGCCATCGCCATGCATGTTCAAACAGAGAGAGAGACAAAGAGAAAGGTAGAGCAGAGAGAAGAAGGGAAGAAAGGATAGAGAAAAGAAAATGCATACGGCGTTGCCATCACTGTGTGTGTGAGATAGAGAAAATACAATAGAGAGAGAGAGGTTCGTGCATGGTGCTGCTATCACCATGCACATTCAGCCAGATGGAAATAGAGAGAAAGATCGAGAATAAGAAGAAAGAGAAAGAATGGGACACACACAGTGCTGCCATCGCCATGTGGGTTAGAGAAAGAGAAGGAAGAAGATGACATGTACGGTTCTACCACAGCCGTGCGTGTTCACAGAGAAGAAGAGAGAGAAGCCGAGAAAAGAAGAAGAAAGAAAAGAGAGAGGAAGTAAGAGAGAAAAAAAGGAGGAAAGAAGAAGATAGAGAAGCGAGGAGGAGAGAGAAAGAGAGATAAGAGGAGGAGAGAGAAAATTACCTTATAAAAAGTACCGACCATTTTCTTCTCTCTCCTCTCTTTCTCTCTCTCCAAGACACATTCACGAACTCAAAGTAAAGGCACAAACTTTATTGGTCAATTGAAAGTCTGAGGGGGGATCAAGGGAAGAATTCTTTACAATTAGGTTTAGCATGTATTTATAGAATTGGGCCCAAACATGGGTAGATGCCCAAAAACTATCTTAATTGATGATAATTACAATTTAATTGAATTAAAATAAATTCTAAAAATGGGTGCAAAATGACTGTTTTGTCGCTGCCTAACAATTCATGAAATTTCAAAACAATCCATGTTGTTGCCCTAGAATGTGTGTGATCTTCTATGGATGATCCAGGGTTTCTCTGGTGCCCGTTTATCTGAAAGACGATTGTTTTCTTGTAGGGATCGGCATGGTGATCGATTTGATACCAACTTTGAGCTATGGATCGTGTTTTTAAGCCACGATCATGCGACTTGAAATTTGGATGAATCTTGAAAACTTTGGATCAATAGTATGCTTGTTCCTTGATGTTTTTTCATGATTTCTTCGCAAGATCACACTAAGCATCTCGTCACGATCGCGTGGCAACAAATGCAGCCCGATTTTGTGCCCGAACGAAGATTTCACAACTTTTGGGTTTTGGCCGGAATATGGAATTTCGGTTTCAAAATTTACAGTCAATTTATTAGCTTCATGTATAAAATCCGACCGTTCATCATGTACGGGGTTTTAACCAGAGATAGCTCTAGACCTTACGCACATGAAGGATCTAGTCTC